ATGTGAGTCTCACTGAGCTAAAATCAAAGTATCAGCAGGGCTGATACCTGTCCAAAAGCTTTAGAGAATAATCTATTTCCTTGCCTTTCCCAGCTTCTATAGGTCACCCACATCCCTTGGCTTGTGGCCTCCTTCCTCTATCTTCAAAGCCAGCAATAGTAGCCTGAGACCCTCTCCTATGCATCACTCCAATCTCTTCTTCTGCCTCCTGTTTCCACTTTTAAATGCTTATGATTACATTAGTCCCATATGGAGAAGCCCGGGTAACTTCCCCAACTCATGGTCAGCTGATTAGCAACCTTAATTCCATTTGCAACCGTAACTCCCCTTTGCTATGCAACACAACAGATTTACAGGTTGCAGGGATTAGGATGTGGACATCTTTGGTGGTCATTATTCTGCCATCACAGAGCCCCCCACTGAGAAACACTGGAGAAAACCCCACACTTGCTGGTCATTGGTGATTATCTTCTGTGTTACATGGGTTGCCCTGAAGACAGGCACTCAGGAGATGGTCCAAACCCAGAGAGCTCCAAAAGGTAAACACGCCAGTTAAATTCTCAGCACCCAGTGTAAGTATCACTCCATTCGCAGAAGCCCAACACCTCAGCATTCCTTCCCACTCCTTGTGGTACCACTGGAAACCACCAGGAACATCAGATCCCAGTCCTGAGATCCCTCCTCATTTACAGCTGTAGGTGTTAAGCACAGGTGAGAATTAAGGTCATAGGGAGGCATGTTATATAATTAGGTTATATAAAATAAACATAATAAGTTAGGTTTTTTGATCTTCTAGTTCCTAATATTGATACTGATAGGAGCTTCCAAGTGTGACCACAAAACAACTTATTAACAGCTATTTATGACTAAGGTAATCTTATAGAAACCAACTCCCTAAAACAATCACATTTTCTATGAACCCAGGAAGTGAGAAGAACTCATGGTCTCCCCTGCATGATTTTGTTCCTTAAATAATAACTATAGTTATTATGGCTACCATTAAAAAGTGCCAGATGCTTATTTGCACCAGATTTTGTTTGTTCCTTATGACAATCCTGTGCACTTTATTCCCATTTTATAGGTGAGCAAATTGAGGCACAGAAAGATTACATTATTTGTCCAAGAGCATATAGCAAATAAACACAGCCAGGATGTGATCATGACTCTGCTGGCCTCTAGAATGTGCCCAGGCCCACAAAAATGGGTTGGAGGGGAGAAGAGGCAGACACTGCCCAGCCTTTTGTATGTCTCAGGATGAGGATAACTGTACTGTGTGCTCTGTAGACTGTCCTTCACTGCCTAGGTCACCAGGTGGTAGAGCAAAGCCTACTTTATCTGCACTGGATAAACTTTACAGCTTTCTAAGAAACACTTCTGATATCCCTGATAAAAACTCTTAACTCACCCATCAGCGGCAAGGCCTCAAACTAATTAGCCTAAAGTACTCAGATTAGAATGTGGTTAATTCTGCAATCATTAAAAGTTATCCACTGTGTCCAGGGAGTTTTGATAATAAAAAGAAACTTAGATCCTTTTTCGAGGAGTTTTCCTAAACAATGGTCTTTATTAATTATTGTGCTCAATAATTACTTGTTGAATGTATGAATGAGTGAAAATAGCATTTAAAAATTAGACGCTTTAAAAACATGGAAGTCTGTATTTCTTGCATGAGTGATGATCATCTCTGGGTGGTAAAATCATAGGTAATTTTTGTTTGTTTATCTGTATTCTCTATTTTTTCCTCCACAATGAAGATGCTTTTTTCATGTGTATATTTTACCTAGTGGGGAAAGTTTCTGAAAATAATTTTTCATTAGAAATTAGGTTAGTAAGATAAAGACTAAATGAAGCAAATAAAACAAGATAAACGAGCTCTTGATTAATGGAAATTTTACTATTAGCAATCCCATTCTGATTAAAATCTCAAATAAAACAGATGAAACTTTGTCCTCTATTAAGGTATGTAATAGGAAGAACAGGTTTGGCTTTACAGAGAAATGACTTTACTATATAATATTAATTTCTCAACCCAAGGGACTTCTTTATAAATATCACAACATTAAAAAGTTTTTTTATAGAAAAATCCAAATTAAAGTGAATAAAACCTTCAAGTCTCAGGTATTTCGGCAATTACCTAGATAAACGTATTTATATGTCTATATAAATACTGTACTCAATTATATATGGTATATATCACACATAGTACACATTCTAGACTATATTTTATCTATTATATGCTACAGTATAAATGTATAAATAGACACAATAAGTTTGGCTATATAGTATAGTTACATAAACAAATAGATACGTATAACATACAAACGTATGTAAACAAGTATATAAAGGTATAAACATAAAATACAAACACACACACCACACACGCACGCACACGCACACGCATGCACATGAAAAAAACCAACGAGCAGTGATGACAGAGCCAGGCCCCAGGCAGCACTGTGCCATAGAAAGAAGCATGTGGGGCTTCAACCAGACAGTCCTGGTCTCAAGTCCCCTCCCTCACATGAGCTTTGTAACTCACATGAGACTCAACCTCTTTGAGTCTCTTTCCTTATCACTAATAATGGGCTCATAATACTGACTCCCAGGGTTGTTAGGAAGATGAAAAGAGGTGATGTAGGTGGCAGTCCCAGCACAGAGTCAGGATTCAGTAATGGGAAACTCCTTCAGCTTCTGCCTCCATTTGTTATTCTGACCCTAACTTCTGTGCTCTTTGCACCATACCACCCAAAGGCACCAGTCTATGGAGTTCTCAGTAACCTCTCCTACATCTATTTCTGGTAAGAAGCATTGCACCCCGTTCTGTGGCGGGCATTCGACTCAGAAGGAGGATTTCCAAACCAGAATGTGCACCCAGCTTGCGGGCATCTGCAGGCTTCAGTATGTCCTAAGCAGCCTGGGCAGGTAAACCTGTGAAGTGATTAAGGCAACCAAGCAAAGCACTTGCCTTTTGATTTCTCTCTAACTTGGCTGTCTAGTGTGATACTTTATTTTTATTTAATAGACACTGAAGGTTCTTTTTTTTTTTTGCTCTCATTTCTTAAATTATACTTTTTAGTCAAAGGAAATCAAAGGCATCACCACAGCACGTCAAGAAGGCATCTAGAGATCTCCTTATAATGAACAAATACAGATATTTTGTCTTTTCAACTAATTCCTGCTAAATAGCTCATGTTTGCCTGCACTAAAACAAAATTTACAGAAATGCCTGGGATTAGGAGACTGCCTACTTTAGAGAAACTACAATGGTTTTCTCCTAAATACCTCCTTGTTCTTCACAGAATTGATATGAATTGACTATTAAGTGATGCTGTAAATTCTTAGTTCTTACAAGTAATTGAATACAGAATGCCGCATCATAATACGATAAGTGGGATATGAAAATCAATTGTGTAAAATATGGAGTTGTGAATTAGGAGGTTAATGAAAAATAACACATTTTTGTCAGTCTGTGCTGTCACAAAATCTACATAAGTAAAGGCAGTAACACTTGCACAAATGGCGGTACACTGAGCTTCTAGGCAATTATGCCCTAATTCTGCCCTGACGCCCACAAGAGAAGAGTGTAGCCTCCCCATGAGCACAGGGGCCAGCAGAGGGTCGGGGTAATCACCCACCTGGTTATTGGAGTTTGTGTTGTTACAGGCCAGATTATGGCAGATTTTAACCCAATAGGTTGTAGATTTACAGCACACTTATCTACATATATCAGAGGGAAGTAGTGTCCTGAGGTTCTCTAGATTATCCATTTTGTCATTTCTAAGGACTGTATCCCCAGAAAATAGGGACAAAAATCCCTCTTCATGGGGTTGCTGGAGGCTGAATGAGGTAACATTTGCAACGTGCCTAGCTCAGGACTGGGGACACCACATACTCGTAATAAATGGTTGTCATCCTTATTACCACAGGTAGGAACCTTAATTGGTTCCTGCAGATGCAACTAACATAAAATGATTAGCTACTATGGGCTCTCTCAGCCAAACATCAATTCAACCTATAGTACTGTGTGCCAGGCAATATTATTCTAGCACTGGGACCCCCCAAAAAGGATACCCACAGTTTCTGCCTTTAGGGAGTTCACAGTCTAGAGGGAAAGACAAGACACAGAAATCCATTAACACTGAGAAGTACTATGATGCAGGGGGGGTGGGGCTGCGGCTGGGAGTAATGGAAGCAAAGGAGAAGACCCAACCCTACCAGAAGGGGGGTTACTGGGCTGAGTCTTGAAGGCTGATGGTAGTGGAGGAGAACTGGGCACTCCAGGTGAAGCCACAGGCACACAAAGGCACAGATGCAGAAAGTGTCAGGGCACACTGAGAGAAGAGAGTGGCCCAAACCAGGCAAATCCACTGCCCATGGGCTGAGGACAGCAATGAAATGAAGGAAGTAGACCACTTAGAAGGTCTGATGCTGCTGCAGTGACTTCTCCGAGGTTCATGAAGTTCTGCTGAAAATCCTAGTTTCTTTGCGTGATTTTGTTCATCAAGGTGACTGAGTTAGCAATAACGCTTTAATTGCACTTTCTTAAACATTATGAGAAATAAAGACAGTTTTCCGTACATAATTTTTATAGCTAAAATGATGAGAAGATAAATTCCACTTTGGGGTTCCTTTACCCCTACAATCTTTCACACGACTCATTTTCTTATTTTAAGGCAAAGATCCGCGCCTTCAAAACGTCTGAAAACTCCTCAATTTCACAATGTTGAGAAGCTCATAAGTACAGCTAATGACAAACTTTCCTATCAAGAGCTGACATAATAAATGCTCAGAAACTTTTGCTGACGTGAAACACTCTGAACATACGGGGTGTGTGTGTGTGTGTGTGTGTGCGTGTGCACGCATTTCATCATGCTTATAGAATCCGAACTTTTCTTGAGGACTTTACAGCTCCTACCTGACCCATCACTTTCTGCCTAGAAGTGCAATAGCCTTTGAATTATTTACTGGTCTCCTGGTTCCCTCCTCCTGCCCCATCTTAGCCGGTTCTCAGCAGAGCAGGCAGAGTGACCCTGTACAAAGTGTTGTCAGAGCGTGTCTCTCTTCTGCTGAAAACCTTCCAGGTGGCTTCCTATCTCAGAGCAGGAGCAGAAGCCCTTCCAGAGACCCTTCAGTTGTTTGAGGGTCCAGATCACCTCTCTTACACCACCTGTCCTTGCTCACGTTTCTCCAGCTACACTTCAGAGTCCCGACTTCGCTCCTTCTCCTTGGAATGCTTTTCACCCCAGGCATCCAGCATATCTCAGATCTCTCTCTCCCTTCCTTCAAATCTTTGCTCAAATGTCACTCTTTCCAAGGAGGCCTTCCCTGACCACCTTATTTCAAATTGCACCCTCCCTGCCCTCCAGCAAGCCCTGCCTCTCATCTCTGCTTCATGGGTCTCCATAGTCCTCCTCACCTGCTAACATCCTAATTTATTTTCTGGCTTCCTCCTCTAGAATGTAATCTCCACGAGGGCACGAATTATTGTCTCCTTTGTTCACTTCCATATCCCTCAGCCGGATCCTGCTGCAGTCTGGGCCATGGTGCAGAAAGTGAACCATCTGTGGTCCAGTAGAGAAATGGGGTCTTTCTGGGATCCTGGTGTCTCCATTTCCCTCTGTCCCTGGTTCATACTGTTCAGCTAAGAAAGTTTTTGAGTCAAGACACTCTCTATGTAGCACAACCATAAAATGCAAAACGGTGGGCAGTAACAGAAGCTGCTAATGTAACGGGAGCAAGTTTGGCTGCTACCTCTGTTCTCAGTCAACAGGAGCATTACAAACACACATTAAGGATCTATAGATTAATGAGTGGGGAGATTATTTACTCTCTAGGGACTCATTCCGTCAACCTTTGTCTGAGAAACAGTATATTATGTTCACAGAATATTGGAGAGGGGCGTGACAAACACCAGTTTGCAAAAACAGTTCCTTCACGCAACAGATACAGGCACTGATGGATGGCTTCCACCAGGGTAATTTATCACCATTTCTCCTGCCCAAATCCACCCGCTTCGTTTCATTGTTGACATTTCTTATGCAGATCTCTCTGCCACAGGTTAATTGGAATTGGGACCTAGCTAGGGGCCTCTGAAGCTCATTATCCTGCATCATGGCTGTGCGTTATGTGAGCACTTACTGACCTGAGTTCTAATTTTAACAACGCTGGCTTACGGAGATGACATCAAGAAATGTTCACTGGGCCGGGAGTAAGATTCTCAATGGGTAAGGCAACACACACAAAATTACGTTCAGCGCTCCTTTTGGGACTGGTAGGAGAGAGGTGCACACAGGACTGAGGTAGCCAAGTGCAAACCTTGGGCCATTCTGTCAACCAAAATGGGAAAAACACCACCTGAAATCAAATCAAGATTTGCAGACACTGACTACTATATATAAAATAGATAAACTACAAGTTTCTACTGACAGCACAGGGAATGATAGCTAATTTCTTATAGTAACCTATAATGAATATAAAAAGAATATGAAAAGGAATATATATGTATATGTATGACTGAAACATTATACTGTACACCAGAAATTGACAAACATTGTAAATCGACTGTATGTCAATAAAAAACTGCTAATAATATTCAAAGGAATAAAGATGTCAGTTTTCTGTAATAGTAATCCTCTCCTTTAGAGCTGTTTTCCCTTCCTATGAATTTTAACTAAAATGTCAAAAGGGGAAAAAACTTCAATACCAAACCCCAGGAGTGAAACAGTCTCAACCCCAATGTGCAGAAAACCGCAAAGGCAAGGCGTGCTCCCGTGGCAAAGTAGAACCAGCACAGTGTCTCGTGTGACCCAGCCGCGGTACAGGGAGCAGGAGGAACACAGCAAACACAAGCACACGAATGCACCGTATGAAACCGCAAGGCATCTTTAATTTGAGGTCAAAGAGACACATCTACAGTTGATCTTCAATACATAATCGCTAAAACTAACTTGTACTTATTCTAAGCAAATGATGGACGATGTGGAAGGTTTTTGAAGATGGGGCCCAAAGGGAAACTCCAAAAAACGTAACGGCTTTCATCCATTTTCCCTTCTGTTTACTTTCTCTATTGATTGGTTGGACTGTCTTGGAGTGAGATGGATTAAAAAACAAAACAAAACTGGTTATCAGTGGTTTAAAAAAAAAAGTATGGTAAAAAACGCAGACAAACTGAAGTTGTAGTAAAGTCAAGGATCCACAATGAATGTTCAGTTTCACAAGCCTCGTTCCTAGCAAACATCGAGGCAAAGCTCTAGCGCAGGGCATCTGCCAAAGAGAGGAGAGCAAATCCCTTTAAAGAACATTAGCCGAGTGTTCACTGTAAGTCAGACACTATAATAAGCGCTGGGGTGAAAACACTGAAAGTAAAGCTCCCCCAGGCAAGGAATTCAGAGTTTAGTGGGAGAGATGGATGAATAAGAATACTGACAAAACTAGAAAGCAGGAGATACAGGTCTTCAGTGCAAATGGAGAAAGCTAAGGAGTGATGCCTCGGCAGAGGGAATTGAGAAGATTTCAGGGAGACAACAAAGATGTTGAATTGTATTTTGAAGGGTGCAGAGGATTTCACTGTCTTTCTGGAAATGGTAGGGTCTGGAGAATGTGATGGTCATTTGGTCTGGTCACATGCAGCCATTCTGATCAAGTGACATGCGTCACACACTCAGCAGCCAACATTCCGATTGGAAATTGCGCTCTGAACTATTAAAAAGTCTCCACGAAATGTCTTTTTATTTTTTTCACGAAAGATGTGGCCAATCAAGCTTCATTAATTAAACAATGTTTAGTACGTTTCTCCACTTCTATTAATTGGAGGCTTCCAATTACAGCTTTTGAAGTAGCAAGGATGACTGTATTGGGTGATGGGAATCTAGCTAAGGGCGAACAACTGAGATTTTATATAGACAGAGCAGCTTTCCTATGGTTAAATGGAGGAGTTAAGAAACATTTTAGGGGGAAACATTAAAGAATGCTGTGGGTGATCTGATGCCTAGGACACCAGGCAGGGAGCCATGCGCTGTGGGCATGTGGGCACCATATACCTCTTTGCTTTCTCGAATCTCCTGGCTGTTCCTCCCTGGGTCTATGGCTCCTTATCGTGTCCCTCTTGGGGGGTAGTCCTTAGGACTATGGTTACAAGCAAAAAAGAAACTCCTTGTTAACATGAAAAGGGGAACTTATTGGAAAGGAATGGGAGAACTCACTGGATTGAAAGAAAATCAGGAATCAAGTTTAGAAACAATAGGCATCTGGCGTTCCCAGTAGCAGAAACTGATGGGCAGTCTCTCTACAAGGTCAATAGGTCCCAAGTTTTTTTTTTTTCTTTTTCTGTTTTTGTATCATCTCACTCAAATATCTAAGGCCCAGGAGATAGGCAGGGAGTCTCCCTTTAGCCTCGTGATCTGTGCTAGAAGAAGCATGGATCCCTCCCCTCCATGGAAATCAGGATGCTGAGCCTAAGGGAAGAGGACCCCCTCTCCACAGGGTCTCCGTCTAGAACCAGGGTGACGTCCTTAGAGAGAAACTCCACTCAGGAAGCATCGATGATGCCTTTTGACCAAGATGGTCTAATCCAGTGTCTGTGATGGTCAAGGAGAGACGTTCACATATCCTCAAGCCATCAGTATGTGTGGCTGCGAAGGGCTGACAGACTCACACTGTAACTGAGCACGACAGCACCAAAAATGAAGGAAGGTGAAACCCTGAGTATATCGGACAGCAAAGGTGAGCTTTTTATATTTTGAAGGTTCCAGGGTGGTGAGTTTCTTCTATATTTGTTGATGTCCAGAATATCGTTCTTCTCACTAGGGAACCCAAATGGTGAGAAGGGTAGGTGTATAAGAAATCTGGAAAAACCCATCCTTGAAGATGACAAGATAGCGGCACTGCAGACCTGAGTTCTAACCTAGTTCCACATTGGCTCCATCATGGTAGCCTGGATGAGTTAACCAAGTTGCTGTGTCTGGGGTATGGAACATGTAAAATGGGACATTCTTTACCTCTGTGTGCAGTCCTAAGTTAATTAGGTTTTACAAGCCATTATGAAAGTCTGTCGCAATTTATGTGGAAGACTTGAAGGTAGCATCCCCAAGGAAGCAAACAGAAAAGCAAATTCCTTTCACCTGCGTGGGTGGTGCCACACATCAGGCAGTGGGTGTGACAGAAAAGGGCTTCTGACTTCCTCACGCTGGCTGCATTCTTCATTCAGAAACAGCTGCTCCAATGTGTCCCACACCATGTTCTCAACTCGTCCTGGAGCATCCAGGTTTTCATCTCATGGCTCCCTTTGTAGTTTGGGGTTCTCTCTCCCCCTCTCACGTGACTTTAGCTCTTGCTCTCTGGCTTTGACCTTTGCTCCTCGTCTGACTCAGTTTCCCACCAGTTACTTCTTTTGGCTGTCTTGATTGATACCCCATGTTAGAGGACTGGTTTTTGGACCCTGTAATTTGAGTGACAGATTCTCCAGGCAGGTGCCTAGACCTCTTGAGAGGACCTGGACAATGACTAAAAAATCCCAAGTTACTTAACTGTTATTCAGCCATGGCAGCTCAGTAAGGAGTCACCCCCATACCCCCCTGTTGTGTCTTCCAGTGTTTATGCATAAACACTCTGTAGCTTCCAATAATTTCTTTCCCCTTTTTCCATTTCATTAACCTGCTAGGCAGTATTTTTGTATGCTTTTGAAAAGCTCTGTGAAGGCTGCTTTCAGTGATGGGTGAAATGATTTCTATAAATAACTCGCAAATCAATTTGTTCAGCTTGTAGAAATCTTGATGAAGAAGGTGCTATTAAATGTGAAAAATCAAAAACTTCATTTTAGGGTGGAGTATTCGACGAGTACTCTGGGAAGAGAGCCCTGGATTTACAACAGGGCAAACCTGGGCTTGATAATCTGGGCTTTCTGGCTTCCTGCTTGTGTGGTTTTAGGTAAGTCACGTAACTTTTCGAGAAACTCAGTTTCTTGGAATGTGAAATGAGGGAATAACATCCCTCTCTCTGAATGATGGTAAAACCAAAATAAAAGAACACACAAAATTATTGCTAATAAGATGCCAGGGCCCTTTTGGTATGCTGATTGCATTTTTGTTAAATCTGAATTTGAAAGCTACTCCTAAAAGTGACTGCAAATAGTGGCGGAGGGAAATCACTGGGGAATTTTCCGGTTTTAAAAAAGTTGCACTTCAGCTGACTAGAAAGCAAATTTCCCTAGAACAAGTTGTGTTTTTATCTTCACTTTAAAGATACAAATCAGAATGTGTTCCTGGTGAATAACTTTCATTAAGGAAATACACTAAGAGTGCAGTTGTAGAAAATTTTTTTTATCATTTCACCGATTCTGGGTTTCTTATCTGTCCTCAACATACATGGCCTTCTCTAAGATTTTTATTTTGCGTGTCCCAATGCCAGACTTGAAGATCCCAGAATTTAAATTCCCTTAGTCTGTTATTTTGAATACATATAGTGCTTTTACATAAGGTTAAACTGCAAATCGTTAGGGTTACCTCTGAGTACATAATATAAACTACAGTTGACACTTGAACTGCATGGAAATTAGGGAGTTTGACCCTCTACACAGTTGAAAATCTGTGTATAACTTCTAGTTGGCCCTCTGTACATGTGGTTCCATACATGTGGTTCCTCTGTAGCCCCTGTTCCTCCATATCTGTCGTTCCAACCAACCTCAGATTGTGTAGTTACTGTAGTATTCACTTTTGAAAAAACTTCATGAACAAATGGACCTGCAGAGTTCAAGCCTGTGTTGTTCAAGGATCAACTGTAGTTTGGTTCTAATCTTACATAAATTTAAGACTTTAAATTCTCTGAAACAAATTAATGTACCTTAATTAAAACTATAAATCTACAGTGAAAGAGCCCTTACCAAGATGGAGGAAAAGGAACACATACCAGGGACTGCATTGACATCAGCTGTTTTCCTGCTCATTTTACTTATTATTACTTCATCACATTTTCAACACAATCTAATAAAACAATCGTCATTGTTGCCGTTTTACAGATGAGGTAACTGAGGCTCACTGAGTGGTTTAATTACATGAGCTAGTTAAGTGGTCCAAGCCCTAAATGGTACAGCTTTCCTGATGCTCCAGCTAGTGACCTTTTCCCCAGAGAGAAACCTCGTGGCAACACTAGGACTTCCCGAAGAAGGGAAAACTGCAACTACATCAGTCACTTATTCTACAATTCTTTTTTTTTAAGGTTTGAGCT